TGATTGGCGCCGTAAGCCTGGGAGGCGGGAGAAGTGGAGCAGCGACGGCTGCTCGGGGAGGAGGCGGAGCAGAGGTGAGCTGGGGCGGGGAGCTGCTGCATGGCTCCCCAGGCCAGGGGGAGCTGCTGCAGGGGGGGCGCCTCAGGGTGGAGGGGGGGAGCTGCTGCGGGGGGGGCACCTCAGGGCGGAGGGGGGGTGGGGAGCTGCTGCGTGGGGGGGGGCGCCTTAGGGCGGGGGGGGGGGCGGAGAGCTGCCACAGGGCTCGGGTGGGGCGGGGGGGCGCAAGGTGGAAGTTTCGCGAAACATCCTTGCACCCGCCCTGCCTGGCTGACACCAGAAGGGCAAGGAATGGTGCTCTTCTCTGGCCAAAGGAATTTGAGGGATAGCCAGAGTTTTGCTTTCTGACTGCATTTTGAAATCTGCGTTTGCAGAGAGAGCGAGAGAGAGGATGTAAGAACCTTAATCCTGAGATAAGGGTGAAGCTAAAAGGGCCAGGTAGGAAGAGGCCCCAGGAAGCAGCAGCAACAAATTGAATCAATAGTATGTGTCAGCTGTTTGTAGGGTCCCTGGTTTAGAACCTAGAGTAGTGGACAGGCACAGGTTCCCCTACTGGCCCCGGTGTAAACCCTAAGAAGGGGACAACCCTTATTTGGGAGCCTGAACAAAGGGCTGATTTTAAAGGGCTCAGAGCTAGGGCTGAAGACCTCAGTGAGGGCAAATAGACTGTTTCATTATTGGACTCTTTAATACTCCAGAAGGAGTTCATTTGGCTTTTGTGACTTGCCAGAGGGCCGGGCCACTGAAGAACTGCTAAGGTTAGCTGGCAGCCTACAAGGGGTTCCAAGGATGAGAAAAGGACTGTGGTATACCACCCAGACACTATGAGGTGCTCAAGAGGTGAGGTGTTTTTTAACTTCTGATTGCTTGACTTTGAAACTTTAACCATTCCTTTTTAACGTAAGGAATTTTTTTGTATTTCATTTGCAGATCACATTATTGTAGTACCCAGAGGCTGCAGTTAGGAACAGGGCTTCTCTGTGCTAGATGTTGTACAAATACAAAGGCTGACATGGCAGCCTAGGAACACAAGTGATATATGTAGGCTGGGGAAGAAGGAGATAATCAAGTATTCCAAATGTGTATATGCATTTAAAATGTTATAGTTTTTTAATTGCTTAAATGTTGACTCTTTAGCTTAGTCATTAAATGTTGGGTGACTCGTAGGCCACACAGCAGAAATGGGTCTTGAAAAGGAATATGAAGGAGAGGGTAGTAGTCTTATGGGTGTGTTCAGGGAGGGCTTTCCATTCACTCCAATTTGAGTGACATATGCTAAAATTCTCATGCTGCCTGTACTAAAACATCCTTGGAATTTCAAAACATTATAAATGACAATTTCCTAATGCCACAAGTGTTGTTGCCAACACAGGAACACTATATTAGACCTTATCCTAACAGATAAAGAGGAACTTATCACAGAATTAGAAGTTAATGGTAGTTTAGGTACAAGTGATCATGATCACATTTATAATGTGCAAGTAGAATAAAGTCTAGACCAGTAATATACAGTTGGTGCTTTAATAGGACCAATTTCACAAAGCTGAAAACAGTTATGAGCCAAGGCAACTGGGAGGAAGAATTTAATCAGAAAAATCTGAATGATAATTGGAAATCATCTAAGAACACCTTACTAGATGCCAAAAAAGCCTGAATCCCACAACTGAGGAAGAAAGCTGTGCTGGTTAAAAAACCAACCTGGTTTAGAGAGGACGTGAAGGGAGCTGTGTGTCTGTCAAGAGAGAGATGTATGTATGAAAATTGATAAGAGAAGCCAAGGGACACAAGGAGAAATCTATGGCCTGCAGAGCTAAGGACAATAAAGAGGAGTTTGTTAAATTATATTGGGAACAAAAAGAATCCTGACAATGGTAGTGGTCCATTAATAGATGAAAATGGTAGAGTTATCAATCATAATGCAGAAAAGGCAGAAGTGTTCAGTAAATATTCCTGTTCTGTATTTGGGTAAAAGCAGATGATGCAGTCTTGACATCTGGTGATAACACTCCTTCCATTCCACTAGTATTTATGGAGGATGGAAAACAGAAGCTACTAAAGTTAGATATTTTTAAATCAGCAGGTCCAGATAATTTGGATCCAGAAGTTTTAGAAGAGCTGGCTGAGGAGCTCGCTGGCCCATTAATGCTGATTTTCAATAAATCTTGGGGCACTGGGGAAGTTTCAGATGACTGGAAGAAAGCTAATGTTATGACAATTTTTAAAAAGCGTAAATAGGATGACCTGGATAATTATAGGCCTGTCAGCACAATGCCAATCCTAGGCAAGATAATGAAGCATCTGATATAGGACTCAATTAATAAAGAACCTGAAGGAGGGTAATTTAATAAATGAAAATCAACATGGATTTATGGAAAATAGATCCTGTCAAGCTATCTTCATATTTGTTTTACATTATGAAATTACAAGTTTGGTTGATAAAGGTAATAGTGTTGATGTAATATACTTAGAGAAGTCGAAGGCATTTGACTTGGTACTGCACAACATTTTGAATAAGGACTGGAATAATACAAAATTAACATGGCACACATTAAGTGGATTAAAAACTGGCAAACTGAAAGATCTCAAAATGTAACTGTAAACAGGGAATCGTCACTGAGTGAGTCTATTTCTAGTGGGGTCCTGCAGAGACTGGTTCTTGGCCCTACACTATTTAACATCTTTATCAATAAATTGGAAGAAAACATAAAATCATTGCTGATGAAGTTTGCAGATTACATAAAAATTGTGGGAGTGGCAGATAATGAAGAGGACAGGTCACTGATTGAGAATGATCTGGATCACTTGGTAAAATGGGCACAAGCAAACATTATGCATTTTAATATGACTAAATGTAAATATATACGTCTAGGAATAAAGAATGTAGGCCATACTTACAGGATGGAGGACTCTATCCTGGTAAGCTGTGACTCTGAAAAAGATTTGGGGTTCATGGTGGCTAATAAGCTGAACATGAGCTCCCAGTGCAAAGCTGTGGCCAAAAGAGCTAATGTGATCCTGGGATGCATAACGGGGGAATCTCAAGCAGGAATAGAAAGGTTATTTTACATCGGTATGTGGCTTTGGTGTGACCACTGCTGGAATACTGCGTCCAGTTCTGGTGGCCACAATTCAAGAAGGATGTTGATAAATTGGAGAGCGTTCAGAGGAGAGTCATGAGAGAGATTAAAGGATTAGAAAACATGCTTTACAGTGATAGACTCAAGCAGCTTAATCTATTTATCTTAACAAAGAGAAGGTTAAGGGGTGACTTGATTGTCTATAAGAACATACATAGGGAACAAATATTTAATAATGGGCTCTTTAGTCTAGCAGAGAAAGCTATAACATGATCCAGTGGCTGGAAATTAAAGCTAGACAAATTCAGACTAGAAATAAGACATACATTTTTAATGGCGAGAGTAATTAACTAATGGAACAATTTACCAAGGATCGTGATGGATTCTCCATCACGGACAATTTTTAAAACAAGATTGGATGTTTTTTTTTAAAGATCTGCTGTAAGAATTATTTTGTTGAAGTTCTCTGGCCTGTGCTATACAGAATATCAGACTAGATTATCATAATGGTCCCTTCTGGGATTAAAATTTATGAATCTATGTATAAGAAGCAGAGTAGAAGAAAGTTTGCAGATTCTTGTTTGAGAAGCAAACATATGGGTGGTTGAAGCTAGCATTGTAAGTGGGCTACAGGGTAAAGCAGTAAGAGAACAGCAGTGGATAAGTACACAGGGGCAGAGCTGTGAAGGGCTTGCTGGTGAGGAGAAAACATTGGAACTTGATATAATGGAAGAGGGGAAGCCAGTGGAGTGATTCAAAGGGAGATTAAGTGATTGTAGTCAGTGAAGATCAAGGAAGATGAGCAATTAGCTGTGTTTTGATTGGGTCAGGTAATGTAGATGGGTCAGTTTGAGTCAGACAATGTATCATGGAAGGCCAGAGAGGAGGCAATTTTGGTAATCCAGATTTGGGAGATGAGGACCTGGACAAGTTTTAGCAATGTAGAAAAAAGAAAAGAGAATGGACTCTCAAAATATTCTGGTCAAGATACAGACCAAGCCTGGGTGTTTTGTGTGAGAGAGGGAGAACTGGAAGAGGACTTTCAGGTTATGGTATTATTTGACAGGAAAAGATGATGGTGTCAGTGTTGACAGAATGAAGGTAAGGAGAGAGAATTTTGGAGGAAAGCGCAGTGCAGGTTTGGCCACGTTATTTTCAGATTGCTTGTGAGACATCCAGGAGGTGTCATCAGAGGAACAGACTGAGATGCAGGACTGAATGGAGGCAGACATCAAGAGTGGAAAGGTAGATTTGTGAGTCATTGGTGTAAAGATGGTAATTTAAAGCAATGGGAGCACATAAGATGATCCACAGATAGATTGTAAAGAGAGAAGAGGAGGCTACCAAGGACAGACCTATATGTGACAGATCTCTGCACAGCAAAGCTTAAAGTGTAATTCTTGATCATCATTTTTAATCTTTAATTTTCACTGGAAATTACATCTCAGATTGTTATAACTAGATTTGACTAAGGAAATCTGACAATAAAATAAGACATTTCTGAGATAGAAATTATTCCAGGACACAGCTGAGGTATATTAAATTCCACTATAGTTCTGTGCATAGAGGAAAACGTATGTATACACCAAACCAAGTATTTAATTTGTAGATGTAGACTTCAATGTGATTTTATAATTGCACATCACATCTTCTTCAATATGTTGTGTTTTTTGCAGGAAGAGAAGAGGTACCGAACTGCCTATTTAAGTGCAGAGGAATCTGAGCGGGAAAAATTCTCTCTCTTCTCTGCAGCTGTGAGGGAAAGCCATGAAAAAGAGAGAACAAGAGCAGAAAAAACGAAGAACTGGTCCATTATTGGTTCTGTACTAGGAGCTATTATCGGTGTCCTTGGTTCCACATATATCAACCGAGTAAGGCTGCAAGAATTAAAAGCCTTAGTTCTCGAAGCCCAGAAGGGACCGATAAGCTTACAGGAGGCCATCAAAGAACAGGCGTCCAGCCACTACATACAACAGAAGGATCTCAGTGACCTCATTGACACCCTGAGAAACATGTTGGAAGCTGGGACTGGGACAGAAGGCATGAGTGCATCATTAAAAATAGACCCTCTTTTAGTTTCTTTAAAAGAACATCTAACCTACTCTAAACAAGTCAGTTCCTGCATGGGGAGTTTACAACAGCAGCTTAGCACCCTGGAAGAAAATTTAGGACAAATGACTGCTGAGGTACAAAATGTTAAACATGCAGTTCATTCTAGACCTGTGGAAAGAGTGGTCCTTGGCTCTTCAGCTGAGGTAAAGGGCCAGGCCTTAGCCATGCAGGATGTGATTCTAGAATTGTGTGGTGCAGAGCGGAGACTGGAAACACAAATCAAGAGAAATTCAATCTTCAGCACTGCACTAACCTGCACTGTGTTTGCTGTTACTCTTCCTGTGCTATACCTTTTATTGAAAGGAAATTAGTTTCCAATGGAGAGAAACATAATTTACTAGGTTAATAAAATTACATTTGCACCCTAAACACTGGGAGTTAGTGCTAGTCAAAAATCTGTATTAACAGTTTCTAATCTTGCTTTCTCCATAATTCATAGAAATGGAAAATACATTTGAACATTTAGTCCTTCCCCCCTGGGCAGGCTTACTTTCTGCAGTATTTTTTTTTTCCTCTAATGATTTGTACAGTCGAGTTTAAATGTCTCAAGCAATGAGAGTTCCACAACTTCATTTTGGTAGATTCTTCTGCCATAGTCTTTTCTAGTTTATTCTGCAATCCTGTAGAGCTTACTCTGAGAGACTGTTCCTCATGTTCAAATTATTATTATTTTTTTTTTTACTTTTAATTATTTCTGTTTATACCCTTTGGCTTCCATATATAATTCTCCCCCATTCAAGCTTATTACTTATCCTATTGATTTTTCAATTTGTCCATACCCAAAACTCTGCTGGGCAATTTACCAAACAAATAAAAATGTCTACCATGAAGATTTTTATCTAAATTTTAAATAGGGTACAGTGAGTGGAAGTGACAAACAATAGGGATGGGATCTCCAAGGAAGGATGAAGGTTACAGCAATATGATCTTGTGATTACCCATTCAAGGTGTGTGTACAGCTTGAGGGTGCAATTAAAATATTTTTGGTAACTTACTGACTCATTTCTATTACTAATTATTTATATAGTGTCTCAAAAGTGTGCTTGATGCTTTAGCTGCCTAATTATAGACTGTTCCCAGTCCCAAAGAGTTTAGAGCCTGAACAGATGACAGATAACTAAATGATGAGAGGACAGGTGGACGAGCACAAGTCCATGGGGCCAGATGCGCTGCATCCGAGGGTGCTAAAGGAGTTGGCGGATGTGATTGCAGAGCCATTGGCTATTATCTTTGAAAACTCATGGCGATCGGGGGAGGTCCCGGATGACTGGAAAAAGGCTAATGTAGTGCCCATCTTTAAAAAAAGGGAAGAAGGAGGATCCGGGGAACTACAGGCCAGTCAGCCTTACCTCAGTCCCTGGAAAAATCATGGAGCAGGTCCTCAAGGAATCAACTCTGAAGCACTTAGAGGAGAGGAAAGTGATCAGGAACAGTCAGCATGGATTCACCAAGGGCAAGTTATGCCTGACTAACCTAATTGCCTTCTATGAGGAGATAACTGGGTCTGGGGTTGAGGGGAAAGCAGGATGTGTTATTCCTTGACTTTAGCAAAGCTTTTGATACGGTCTCCCACAATATTCTTGCCAGCAAGTTAAAGAAGTATGGGCTGGATGAATGGACTATAAGGTGGATAGAAAGCTGGCTAGATTGTCGGGCTCAATGGGTAGTGATCAACGGCTCCATGTCTAGTTGGCAGCCGGTTTCAAGCGGAGTGCCCCAAGGGTCGGTCCTGGGGCCGGTTTTGTTCAATATCTTCATTAATGATCTGGAGGATGGCGTGGACTGCACTCTCAGCAAGTTTGCAGATGACACTAAACTGGGAGGAGTGGTAGATACGCTGGAGGGTAGGGATAGGATATAGAGAGACCTAGGCAAATTAGAGGATTGGGCCAAAAGAAACCTGATGAGGTTCAGCAAGGACAAGTGCAGAGTCCTGCACTTAGGACGGAAGAATCCCATTCACTGCTACAGACTAGGGACCAAGTGGCTAGGCAGCAGTTCTGCAGAAAAGGACCTAGGGGTTACAGTGGACGAGAAGCTGGATATGAGTCAACAGTGTGCCCTTGTTGCCAAGAAGGCTAACAGCATTTTGGGCTGTATAAGTAGAGGCATTGCCGGCAGATCGAGGGACGTGATAGTTCCCCTCTATTCGACATTGGTGAAGCCCCACCTGGAGTACTGTGACCAGTTTTGGGCACCACACTACAAGAAGGATGTGGAAAAATTGGAAAGAGTCCAGCGGAG